CCGCTAACATGAGATTTTTGCGAGACTTATGCGACGAAATGAAAGTGGTGGATTCTTTTACGTGACTACCACATAACAAACATATTTTATTACACATTAATTGAAGCACTAACTGCCTCGTTAGCCTAGTGGTTGTAGTAATGCGACTGCTGATAATGAGGTCCCGCGTTCAAATCCCAGATCGGGCTCAAAAAAATCAGTTATTGAGTTTTTCCATTGAGAGAATCTCAGTAGCTGCCCGGAGACAGAAAATTGGCGGTGTCTCACCCCCGAGCCTCGGAAAGCACGTAAAACCGTTGGTCCTGCGCCTGATCTCTCTCTGGTTGTGTCGGTTTACCGTTCCATCGGACCACGAGAGTAAGGGAATAGAAAATGCACCTTTGCTTACGCATACAATTGGGCACTATGATCCCGTTCCGCGCCGATGGCTAGTCTTTGTTAAGGCTGACCGCCGTGGCCGAAATTCGGTCTGGAGGACACTATTAATATTATTAATTGAAGCAAAAAACATGGTTTCAGATCTCCAACTTTTAATAATATCACATATCTAACTTAACGTGTTTTAATGTAGATTTTTTAGATTTAGATCTAATTGATAAATGATGTTTAAAAATATCTATCTTTCATCCAGTATGTACACTATCCAGTTAATAAGCCATACATTTTGGGTGTCAGCTTTCATGGAAGGCATTTTACGTGACAGTTATTTAATAAAACATGACTCTTCAGGAAGCAAGGTTTACTAACTTAATAGATGTTTTAAAAATGCAACTGGTAAGATTGATGACGCAAGTACACAACACAAGAACAGTGACTCAAATACAGCGAAGGTCACGCGCCGGATGCTGGCGCCGCTGTCTACTGATAAGTAAGCAGTGGTACCACATAGCTTTATTGCCTGTTAATCAAGTGCAATATTGTGAAATTAAGTCTGTTAACAGAAAAAAAAATGGTAAAAATTTAATCACAACCCTTACAGCTTAGTAGTTAGGTTTAACTTGGTAAAGCATTTTGCTGAGATGCATAATTGTTCAGGGTGTGGGTGTCTGCGCATATGCTATTTATATCTGTACAAACCTCAACAACACAGAAAAATATTCAGCACTAGGGGTTATGTTCCCTAAAATATAAAAAACAAACCCATGATAAAAACTCAGAGGTATTTAGCATAATCCAATGTGATGGTGCATAATTATGGCCATCCACACTTTTATTACGAGCAGAACATATCCCATAAATTCATTCATTTATAGGACAATTATTTGCAATGAGTGAGAGAAGACTAATGGTTAAGAGTACACAATACAAAACTTAAAAGCCTATGGTTTCAAATCCGCCATTAGTCTTCGTTCATGAATCATCAACTTAAAAGCTTATGGTTTTAATCCGTCATTAGTCTTCATTCACGAATCCAAGTAAGTTTAAAATATTGGATAGGCTAGTAATGTTATTACCATAACTGTTTCCATTTATGACTACAGATTCGTTTTAACTTTTACTGCGTAAACATACTGGCCTAGAAGAAACTGCATGCTAAAGAAAATAGATAAAAATAAAAAGAAGAAAAACAAAAAAAGAACAACAGACACTATGAGTTGCATGTACTCCACATGCTATTTCTTTAAATTGTTTTAAATAAAACAAATTATTTTTTTTTTATTAACACATTTTACCAAAAACATAGGTTGACCCATGGTATTCTAACCAACGTTGTGCAAGGCAGTGTCGGATTATCGAATTTTTCCGGACTATAGAGTACTGCCACAGCCCCAGGATAGTCCGGAACTTTTTGGAAAAGAGTATCTTGCAATCCGACAAATTACATATCAAATATAAAATAATAAAAAATAAAAATGTTATGTGATGCAATACCTAAACAGTAAAAAGTAAACCCGCTAGGCAGCTACCATAACACACTTGAACTAAGAAAATTGCTTCAAGCTAGATTCGTGGTGATGCGAACTAATTGCAACCTGCTTGTCCACATATTTACCAAGGACACCTCCCCCATGACAAATTCATAGCACCACTCGAATCTACCCACTAGTTAAAGTTAAAGACATGACAGATTACAAGGGGGACGGATTAGTGAGGGGCCGGATTACCGGGGGTCCACTATATATATTATCCCATCAAGTTCAAGTTTTAATGTCCTAACTTAGTATCTTTTTTTAAATAGTATATTTGCAATAATTGCCAATCCTGTCCAGACAGGTCATGTAAAAGTCAATTAAAAAGAAGATAGAAAGAAATTATTTTTTATTTATTAACCCATTATAGTAATAATAGCCATATTATTTTAAATTTGGTAAATGGTTACTATTTATATGCCACACACTTTAAGGCTTTATATTATTTGAATTTCATCATTGTCATCAGGCGTGTTAAATCTATTGATAGATTCAATTCAGAGAGATTACTTTATACATTTATTATTACATGTGTTTCATTTTAAGAATTGTGGTAAATTTTTTTTCAGAAGACTTGAATAAAGTTTTTACTCTGTAGTTTAGTTCTAAAAAAAATTAACACATCACCTACATTACTCAATTTGAAATAAGCATATTAAGGCTGGCCACATATATACAGAATTCCATTTTCGGAATTCCGAACTGGTCGGCGACACACGTACGGAAACTCATTTTGCTCACAAAATTTCACGTGGTCTTGCTGCATTCGTAATCACGAATTGGAATTCCGAAATGGAATCTCGAAACGGAATTCCGTATCTATGTGGCCGACCTAACAGTATGATAACTGGTGACCTTCATTGGTAATGGCAACAAATAAAAAGAATTAAAGTTAACTTTAATTTGTGGCATGTTATAATTGGAATGTAGTAACCATGTCCTACGCAACCTATAGTAATGACCCAAATTTGCAAGTGACATAATTATAATTTGTCACTCCAGGTACCTATTAATGGGAAAATGTGGTGAACATGGACTTTAATTTAAAATTTTAATTTGCTTCTAGTAAGAAAACATGCAAGATCATGGTCAGTAGTGAATTCTTCTACAAAGTCATTACACACCGTTAAATTTATAACTTCAAGCAAGTTTTTGCTAAAGTAGTCAAAAAGCTTTCCACAATATCAAAGGCCATATTAGAGAAAAATACATATGACAATCATTTTTAAATTTCATAAATCAAAAGTAAAACTAACATTTATTGCTTGTATCATACTTAGAAAGATAACAACTTCTTATAAGATACTTACCTAACTACTTTGAATAGGCAATTCCATTGAATATTACTGATACCGTGATAAATTGGAATTGGTACAGAATATAAAAAACTGCTAAAGAGTGAGTTAATGATATACATATAATACAGTGACAAACAAGCACACAATCCATCTGATGGTAAGTGTATGCTGTTGCCCATAAACACCTACATTTATCCTCAATTAAGAATCAAAATGCAGATGCATTGCCATCCCTGAGGACCAAGATGAAATGCCTCATTTCCAGTAAAAAGGTACAGTCTATACTCACCATATGAAACACAGCAGCATTGAGCTGCTAGTTTATACTGGTATTCTGTGAGAGCATAGTCTTTCCCCATTCGAGCCAACCCATTCGTGCTACAATCCTAATATAGCTGCAGCATGGCTCTACCACATTTAAAATGTAGTAGTAGTAGGCAATAAAGAGTAATTAGGCAAACTATCTCTAATTTTTGCAACAGGTTTTTAGATTCACAGTAGCTAGGATTTAGCTGCAAAGATACATTTTAAACTGCAAAGTAATTATTAATAATTTTTAAATAAAACAGACCAACAGCTCACCTTCAGTAAAGAAATCACGGGTGGGGCGTACAGAAAATAAAATAGTCTCTGAAGTAGCTCAAACTGACACTGTTGATAAGAGAATTTAGGCCTTATAGGCACAATCTAGCTGCAGTAATCCATGAATACTTTATACATTTATTAACACTACTTTGTGAATTCGAGGTCACGAAAACCCTTTGGTTATATTATCAGGTTTGGAGTAGGAAAGAAAATAGCTTACCGCTTGAAGCGCCGCTAACCTGTCCTTCGTCATCCTTTATAGAAAATCACACACCAAATAAACGTTTTATCTTATTACACAATCCCATTCACAGATATTTTTCTAACAAACGTCACTAAACTAAAGGACACGAACACTAGTTCACTTCACTCAAAAAATCGATACAACGAACGAACACGAACGAAACTACCATCCGTCAGAATAATACTTGAGATTGAGACAAATTACATTAAATTGTAGATGGCGTAATATTAGCACTGAAGATATGACGTCAGTGCATTGTCGGTAAAATCATACCAGGAGGATATCAAGATAGATGTTTATGAATTTAGAAATATTAAACTATAATATAATTTAGAATAAGGATTTACTCAAAAATTTTTATTTTATTTTATTCTTATTATCTTAGAACAGTTTCCAAAATTATAATTTATTAATAAAATTCAAAGTTTCTTTAAAACATTTTTATGACTAGTAATGTCATTGCGCCTGTCGTTGTCAACGAATTGTTCCGTTTAGTCAAGTGACGCCATTGTGAGCCGTAACGACTTTTGAGAGCACGGAGTTTAATCTTAATTTTCTTAGATAATCTTGGTAATTTGTGTTCATGTAGCTTATAATTCAATACTATACATTACGTACTTTAAGTATTTTTATTTATTTTGAATAAATCTTTCGTAGTTTATTTGCAATTTACGCCTTTCTTCGGTACCGTCGAGCTAAATTCCTGTGAGAGTGCTTGAGCGCCATTCGGTGAAAACTTAAACAATTTTAACTTGTCACCGGCAGTTAATTTGTGATTTTATTTTTTTACTATTTGTTTAATTTGATAATTTGTGTACTATTTAAAGATTATAATTTAAAAATTAGTAAACTTTGATTTCTTGTACTTATTTGGAATGTCTTATGCACTGAACCGTAAGTTTTTAATTTTTACTTTATTTCTTTCAGGAATAGTATTTTTATAATACAAGAATGGCTGATGACATGCCTACGTTTAAATGTGTGCTGGTCGGCGACGGTGGTACCGGGAAAACCACATTTGTAAAACGACACTTGACTGGAGAATTCGAGAAAAGATACGTTGCTACTTTAGGTGTCGAAGTGCATCCTTTAGTATTTCACACAAATCGTGGTCCCATTAGATTTAACGTTTGGGACACAGCCGGTCAAGAAAAATTTGGAGGACTTCGAGATGGTTATTATATTCAAGGTCAATGTGCTATCATTATGTTTGATGTCACCTCACGTGTTACATATAAAAATGTACCAAATTGGCACAGAGATTTAGTACGTGTTTGCGAAGGTATTCCAATTGTTCTGTGTGGCAATAAGGTAGACATCAAAGATAGAAAAGTCAAAGCAAAAACGATAGTTTTCCACAGAAAAAAGAACCTTCAGGTAATTTCTTAATTTTTTAATAATTCCTATATTAAGACATTTGGCTAGTGTCAATATAAATGATAGTCACCCTGATAAATAAAATTATTCTTTTGTTTACAGTACTATGATATTTCTGCAAAATCAAACTACAATTTTGAGAAACCATTCCTTTGGCTAGCTAGAAAGTTGATTGGAGATGGCAATCTAGAATTTGTTGCTATGCCTGCATTAGTACCACCAGAAGTCACTATGGACCCACAATGGCAAAACCAAATTGAGAAAGATCTTAAGGAAGCTCAAGACACTGCGTTGCCGGAAGAAGATGAAGACTTGTAAATAGTATTGCTAAACTATTAACCCCAGTGCCCTCTTAAATTGTGATGTAAGCTCATGCTGACATAATTTCACTTTATGCAGTGCATTTTGTTAAAATTTCATTCCATTAGTTCCCAAAAAAAGGACAAGAGATCTATGTTAATGCAAAATTTACTGTATTAAATATCCATTCACTTCAACAATTACATGTTGATTATGTAATGTCTTAAGATTTCAGTATTAAAGATATTTATGTATGTTAAAACATTATAATAACTGCATTTACATTAAAACTAAAAGAATGGATATTTGTTTAGATACATCAACTAATGCTTTTCTACTGATTTGTAGTGTTGTACAAATTGTATTATGATAGCATCTAAGTAAATACTGCATTGCCTAATTTTATCATAAAGTTTTGTGTAACTTAGTTCACTATTTTTGTAATCTTTGTTGTAATGTATTGAATATTACTAAAATTTATTTATTTCAAATGACTGTCCTTCAATCATAAGGGATAACAAGTTTCATCTGTAGATTTTTCAGGTTTGTTTAAAAAAATTCATGATCTAGTGTCTATTACTGTAATTTATCATAAACTGTATTGTTTGTTAGGAAAGGACTGACAATATTACACTCTTAAATTGTGGTGATACTTTTTGATTAAAATATAAAATCAGTTATCTTTTTCATTACATTTTTCAAATTTGTGTCAGTTTTTTTATAACTAGTAAATTGTTATTGGGAAGCTGCTTTCCATCTTATGTCATTTTCCTCTGTTGCTTCTTACGACACCCAGGTTAGTGGATTATCTTACACTGCTGCTGTATGGTGTAAACTTAACTTCTATGGAGAAATATAAATTTGCTTTAGTTTGCATTGCAAAATTCATAGTTCTTTTTTTTTCATTATTAAGCAAATATGGCCTATATAATAAAGAATAGGTACTGAACTGTCTTCTCATGATTTGAAGGCATATTTACATTACGTTTTTATAAAACTTAAAAAATAATTTGCCACTAATGAGGGTATCTACGACTTTTACTGCCACTAGGGCGGCGCCACTTTACTATGAGGTACACTGACTTCTATATATAGTCAGTGATGAGGTAAAATATTTGAAAGATTTCATAGCGAGGATGATAATTTTTTAGGAAAATGTAAACTTTCTTTCAAAAGAAGAAACTATTCTATAACAACATCAATACTTGTATTCTTTTTATTTATTACATTGATATTTAGGCTTCGCTTGTCTAAAAATGAGGATTGTAACAATTATTTCCTATAAAATCTAATATTTGTGGTTGAAAATTAGCATAATAAATAAATCTTTTGCCCTTAAATCTTTTGAATTGTTATTTTTATCATAGATATGTAGGAAGATTTTTATCAAACAGTACAATATGGTGTGTAGAGGTAAGGAGTACAGACTATAAAAAAGTGTCCGTAGGAAAGCACTAAATAAGGGTGGCGCCGCTGTAGCTAATTTAAAGACCTTTTTGTAATTTTTGACCACCATAATTATTTTTACAATAATTTTATTGCTTTCAAAATTTTTATTTTCAAAATCACTCAACGTATTTTACGGCGATTTATCATACCCTGTAGGTACTCGAGCGCTGTTGTGGAGAGTTTTAGAACTGTTATATACTGCTTACAGATGGACACATTTTCAACTATTCTATGGGAGATTGTCTTCCTTACCTCTATACTCCATCCAGTACGAAATAATATTGTAATCTCATAGATTATAAACACATAGATTGCCGAAAATTAAAAGAAAACCAGGCTCTGAGTAAAGCGACTATACAGCCCGAAAAAAAAAGTTTAACCTTATATATACACGTTGGCCACAGAGTATGTACCTTTTATCCCGGTAATATATGTTGGCCAAGCCTCTGCCAACGCGAGCGCAGGCAAATTGATACAAGGCGAATGCTACAGTCTACACTACACGTTGGTATAGTTCGAAAGAGATCAACTCCAAGGCCAACGTTCACGAGTTTTTGTGGAACTTAGAATATACTGGCGTATAGACGACCCGACAGCCTGAAAATGCGTGACTATGGAGTGTAGATGTAAGGAGTACAGACTATGTATAAAAAAGTGTCCATCGGAAAGCGTTAAATAAGGGTGCGCCCGTTGTACTTTATTGTTTGTGGGGTGCGCCACTATAGCTACAGTCTGAATTTTAAAGAACTTTTTATAATTATTTTATTGCACAGACTTTCACCATAATTCTTTTTTAAATTTTTTATTGTTCTCAAAAGTTTTATTTTCAAAATCACAACGTATTTTACGACGATTTATCCTTATGCTTTATCCATGTAGCTACTCGAGCGCTGTTGTGGAGAATTTTTGAACTGTTATTTGCTGCTTACGGACGGACACATTTTCGACTATTCTCCTAGGGAGATTGTTCCTTTTATATGGTTTAGGGATGTAAAGGGCTATGAAATGTTAGAAGGTAAAAGTTTATAAACACAAAACTGAATAACTTTCGTGTCTAGATTATTTGATTAAAAATTAACTGAACTTTTACCATGGTAGTTCAAAAATTATTTTAAAGTATTCAAATAACATGTTCCTGGGAATAAGCTGCAACTACCTACCTTATTCATCATCCATAATCCACCTCAGCCTATAAAATTTACTGTTGAACATAGGTTACCTCACAGGGGGGAATTTTGCATTAGTAAACACGCTTGGCGAGCAGGTTGTCAACCCTAATTTTTTATTAGTTGAGTTGTTGTTTATATAAACAAAAGAAAGATGCTGCTAGTGTTGTCCATCACCTGTTTCAATTTCTCTCTGTCGCCTCTTACAATCCTCATGGGACGATATGGGGTAGTTGATATTCTTTCACCGCCATCACCTGCCTTTTTGTTGGATTTTAATTCAAAATGTAAAAAATTGCAATAATCTCTGAAGAGGTGAGTCTACCGATAAACCTAAACAATTTTCCCCAAGAATCAGATCGAAAAGTTGTGTTTTCGAGCATGGACAGTTTTCCAGGAATTAAGTTTTGAACAATACCTACATAAAACAAAACAAATATATGAAATAAAAATACGTATATACTTTATTATCTGCCTATTTATATTTTTATATTTTATAAAATGTTTGGCTGGTGAAATAAAAAACGGGCACACAGAGTACGTACTGACTGCTTTATTTTTTGTATAAATATTACTTTGAATAATTACAAAATAGAATTAGAAACAGAAACAAAAAACAAAAACATTAAGTAATGAATAAATACACAAAATTAAAAAAAAATTAACAGAATTACTACAAAAAAAAAACATTTAATAATAAGTACATTATAGAAGTTTATTTTAACATCCGACTTTAATATGAAAATAAACTTAATACGAGTAATATAAGTAAGGAAACTTGTAGGAATCGGTTAATGATATTGTTCTGTTTAAATGCCAATAAATAATTGTAATTGATTTGTTTAGTTATCATTTTCATGTTTTGCTGGTAAAATAAAAAACGGAAACACGGAGTACATAATGACTGCTTTATTTTTCATATAAGTATTACTTATTTTTATTTATTTATTTTTCATATAACTTATTGACTTTTAAACAGAACAATCTTATTTAATTGGTTCCTACAAGTTTCCTTACCTAAATTATTAAGCTTACATTCGTATTTAAACAGAATGTGAAATTAAACTTCTAGATATTTCATTATTAAATATCTGTGCCCACTTAAAATATCTTGGTCCAAACTGTGGCATAGCATACATGAAAACAAGACAATATTATATTTCAATATAAGACAATATAAGACAGTTATTAAATTACAACTAAAGTAACTAATACTACACTAACTAAAATTAAAGTAAATAATACTATAGCTAAGTTAGTCAATTGGTAAATCAATTAAGGTTCCATTCAAATGCAAATTATTAACATTAAAATGTTAATAATTTGCATTGATGAAATTCGTAACTCCTAATGTTAAACATGTCAATACTATTGTAATTTTAAAATGGGGAGGAACTGAGTCTTGTTGATATCACCATTTTTCTTGGAATCACACTGGACGCAAAGCTTCAATGGCTCCCCCATATATCAAAACTAGCTAGCAGACTTAGTTCTGCAGCATATGCTGTAAAAAAGATTAGAACTCTTACCAGTGTTGAAACAGCTAGAATAGTTTACTTTAGTTATTTCCATAGCATTATGTCGTATGGTATTTTGCTATGGGGACACGCAACTAACATTGAAATTATATTTATTTTACAGAAGAGGGCTCACTGACTCACTGAGACAAAAATTTAAGGAAATTAATATATTAACTCTGGCGTCTCAATACATTTATGAAAATGTAATGTACGTACACAAAAATAAAAGTAGTTTTACAAAAATAAGTGATATTCATTCTGTAAATACTAGGAGTAGACACAAGCTAGTAGTACCAGTTACTCGACTCCACCGAGTCAATAATTCATTCTTGGGGCGATGTATACGCTTTTACAACAAAATCCCAGAAAATATACAAAATTTGTCATACATAAAGTTCAAAAATTTTATTAAACTAAGTTTGTATAAAAAGGGTTATTATAATATTAAGGAATTTATAGATGATAATAACCCCTGGGATGGGTGATCGCTACCAAGCTATTTCTAATTTGTCTTGTGTTGTTGATTGTAAACATGATTGTAAGCTATTATTGGAAAAAAAATAGTCCCGCCGGGTTTCTTAACAAATAATAAATGTGACAGTAGCCATTGAATTCTGGAATTGTGGTAATTTTCAATCCAGTTCACAATACAATATTGCTGTTGCTAATGAACGTGATAGTAACTGTGATGCTAGTTTAACCTTCATTTTCTGTTTGACGTAATTGATATGACGGAAGGTTAATTTGTTCGCTAAGTGAAAGTCTATTTATTTCTGCAATTCGTAAAGAGCTTCTATGTAACCAAAATCAATTTATTTTAAACGATTCATCGACGAGGATTTTTTCACCGAAAATGTTGCAAATCAGTTTTAATAAATGACAT